GTTAAAAGTTTCTTCAATATTGATAAAGATTTCGTCCGTAAATAGGATGTGGCGATGCTGATTTGCGTACCGCTATGGTAATGCTCGCGATCTTTGTACTAGTCATTAGTTTTTGCCACTTGTTTAGAAGATGACTGCCGTTTCTTCTATAAACACGTCGTCAAATATCGTAAGAACTGTTTTAATAATCTTTCTGCTCAAACCCAAATGAACAGCCATCAAATTAATCTTGCAGACGGGATTCCTAGCGATTCATGCTTTGGTTGCTTTGGTCACTGCTTGAGTTCTTACGTCATTACGTTCTAAGTCAACCGCTTCTTTTCATATCATCGACACTCGAATTCATCATATTATGGCAGCGCTGTCGTCAAAAATACATCGAAGCCTAAATCGAGCTAGCAAAGTTACGAAGTAAAAGCAGTATGTTATATAGAATAGCACCGAACAACCACTCGGAGCGCTCGCCGCTCCCCGGGCCGATCACCTTGCCTGGCGGGAGATCTCCCCTTTTCCTTCCACCGCCAAACTGGTGACCCCGACGTGATCTGAACACGGCACTAACAACTTCTGGAACTACAACTTTAAACCTTCGTCATCATCTTTAAGTACCCTATTCATTCGCTCCCATGCAGATTTTGTCTGCAATCTTCAAATTCTGCAAGCCATCGTCTAGCTTTACAAAGATTCATCGCAGCACTGGAATAATAATGCTTCCTGTTCCTTCAAGCTACTCTGCGCTACAGTGTTCGGCACGGCTCTGAGTCTTACTGCTGGCCTCTGCTTCACGGCACTCTCGTAGATTACTTGCCTTTATCTCGACTTAACGCAGACTACAAGCCAATTCCCTGGCACTTGCACATTAGTCGACATCTAGACTGCACTATCGACTTCTGATCTGAGCAGGGCGATGATGTGGCGGCGATGTCGTCGCGCCACAAGCGAAAATACATCGAAGGCTAAATCGCGCTATCAAAGTTTCGTATTAAAAGCAGTATAATATATAAAATAGCTCTGAATAATACTCGGAGCGTTTGTCGCTCCCAAGGCAGAACACCTTGCCCGGTGGGAGATCTACCATTTTCCTTCCATGGCCAAAGTACCTTGTAATGGTACTGATCACAAACCTCAGCGTGATATTTTTTCTCCATACAAATATGCGATCGAATCATAAAGCAAAAATGTCGCTTAAACAGTAACACCCTATTTCACCGTACTCATTTAAAGGCTGCCTACTACGTAATACATAGGCTGCACTAAAAATATCGAGAATGGAATATTTCCACTGTTCCTGTCATATTAAAATATTTTTAATTGAAAAGTCCTTGGTTTTAAAAATCGAATACCATTTATTTATTTAAAAAAAAGATTCTCGGTCTTGTCACAAGGTTTTGTCAAACTTGTTTAGTCGTTGAGAAAATGGAATTGATTCGAGAAAATTCAAGAGCGATGATTTATTATGACTTTCGAAGTGGTTTAACACAAAAACAATGTGTTGACCGGATGATTTCTGCACTTGGTGATGAAGGTCCATCCAAAACGGGACGGGTCAAGCTCAGTGATGATCCCCGTCAAGATCGTCCTAAAAGTGCAGTCACCCAAGAAAACGTTGATGCTGTGCGTAAGCTGATTGAGGAAGATCGACATGTGACATACCGCGAAATTCAGGCAACTTTAGACATTGGCATGAGTCAAATACAAATAATCTTGCATGAACAATTAGGTGTAAAAAAGTTGTTTTCCCGATGGATACCGCATTCGTTCTGTGAAGAGCAAAAAGCGGCTCGCGTTACTTGGTGCGTCAGAACTCTCGAAAGATTCCACGCAGGATCCTCAAATGCTGTATACAACATTGTATCAGGTGACGAATCCTGGATATACGCGTACGACGAACCCGAAACAAAAAACCAGTCACGAGTTTGGGTGTTCGAAAATGAGTTAAAGCCAACAAAAATTGTTCGTTCACGGCGTGTTGCAAAAAAAATGGTGGCCACGTTTGTCTCCAAAACCGGCCATGTTACGACTATTCCTCTTGAGGGACAAAGAACGGTTAATGCAGAATGGTATGCTAGCATTTGTTTGCAACAGGTCGTTTCTGAACTCCGTAAAGAGAACTGCAACCGCCGCATCATCATCACGACAATGCGAGTTCTCACACCGCACACAGAACAAAAGAGTTTTTAGAGCAAGAAAACATAGAATTATTAGACCATCCGCCGTACAGCCCCGACCTAAGCCCTAATGATTTCTATACTTTCCCTAAAATAAAGAATAAATTGCATGGACAGAGATTTTCATCACCTGAAGAAGCTGTGGACGCCTACAAAACGGCCATTTTGGAGACCCCAACTTCCGAATGGAATGGTTGCTTCAATGATTGGCTCCATCGTATGGAAAATGTGTCAAATTTCGCGGAGAATACTTCGAAAAGCAATAAATACATTTTTAAATAGTAATGTTGTGTCACTTCCTTGATTCCCGAAATTTTCAGTGCCGCCCTCGTAAGAGGAAACTAATGTCACAATTTCACACAGCACTGTGTTTACCGGTTTGGGATGTGCGTCTAAATACAATATTTTTCATACAAAACATACCCTCGTTTTAAAGTCTTAGGGGTAAATTTTTGATATTTTGTCATTTTTATTGAAGAATTACACCAGCTTTTAAATTAAAAATATTTTCTTCTGCATTTAAATTTGAAAGCCATTCGACTATATGGTGAAAGGGCTGTTTTGAAATATCGCAATACCCGTTTCTGTAAAATATGTACGTGCGCGATGTCAAAACTCAAAACTCAGAAATGGGTCAAAATTGAAGTGTCTGTAATATCGAAATAACTGCCTTATATTGAACTAGTGGGGGTGGGGGGTGTTATTTGCATGCTATTAAGACACGAATAACCATTTTTAAAATTTTTGTGTGCCTGTCTGTCCGCGCTAAACTTTGGATTGGTTGAACTGATTATAATGAAATTTCACGAACAGATAGACAGCAATGCCAGGAGTGATCTAGGCTTATCTGAAAAGGTTGGAGATGTTTGTTGTGGAAAAAAAAATTAATTGTTTTTGATTATTTTAAATATAAATAATGCCATATTAAGATCGGGTGGGTCGCTAGTTGGACTAGACGCTAACTGGACTGCAAAGGATACGGTATTAACATCAGTGGCGAGTACATCACTCAACTTCTATTTGCCGACGATATAGTCCTTATGGCAGAATCGCTGGAGGACCTAAGCACTATGCTCGATGACCTCAATAGAAGCGGGGATAGGTCTTAAGAGGAACATAGACAACAAAAATCATGTGTAACGTCCATGTCACACCTATGACTGTAGTTGTTGGTCTCGTCGTAACTAACAAAACGAGCCCAAACTTAGCATACCTAGTTCTACTCGTCCAGGAGTTCCACTAGCAGTTACCGAAGTACACCTTCAGGTCATTCCATCAAGTTCGGAGGTAAGGTCTCGTCATAACTAACATAATGAGCCCAAACTCGGCACACCTAGTTCAACTCGTCGAGGAGTTCTAGTAGCATTCACCGTATACTTTCAGATCACTCCATAAAGTCCAAGACGAATAGGATTTATATATATTTATATATTATAAATCCCACTTGCTTTTAGCGAAACAAAACATTATAATAAGAATTTGTGATTATAAAAATATTTATATTATGTATGTATTATTTTATTTTGTCAGGTCATGTACCTATGTATCAAATTCGAATATTTTGTGTTTGTACAGCGATCTTTTTCAGCTGCTGCAGTCGGTACAGAGACCACCCGCGATAGCGGCCGAGCGCCGACTGTGGTTTCATCGAAATTTTTGTACAACAAATCAAAACAGTCACTAAAAATAAAATAACCCTTATTGCAATCAATTAGGATTCATCCGTATCAGCAAAATATGTCAAAAAATAAGCATCAGTTTTTATTTTTTTTTTACGACCATTTGTGACATTTTGATAAAAAGTAATCTCCAGCATTTTTTATTGAATATGTCTGCCTACTTACAGTATTTTTAGAAATCTTAATATATGTTGATAATAGAACAAAAAATGTACCGAAACATGAGCCGGTATCGTTAATTTTGTAGAAAATGGCTAGGGAAGATCCTTTTTACAATGTAATAAACTATTATTTTCAACAAAAAAGTTACCACCATTTGAAGATAAAGAACCATTCTATACGTTGTAGTTATTAGTTATATTTGATTTGGTTTAGTTTTGTCACAAAATTTACCGAAAAACAGCATAATTTGTCCTGATTTGCAAACGCACCCTTAATCTTAAGTTCTCAGTGACAACGTATCTGCCTTTTAATATTGAATTGACCATAGCCTCCATGTACTAACCAACAGGTGTACTCTTTTTTCTTTCTTTATTACATTGCACATAGACAAACATACAGACCCATAAAAATAATTTGTAGATCATACATTTTTTTATACTACCAATGCCCTTAGTAATATTCTATTTAACCACTACTGGTAACATAATCATTTATTATACTTACGCGAAGACTACACATAAAATGAAACTGATTTTTACCGATTTTGTTGTTTTTTAATTCCCGACGTTTCGGGTGCTTTACAGCACCCATGGTCATGGGGAGAACTGAGGTTTTTGACGTCCTGATGTCATAGTTAGCCCAAATACCTTCAGTCTTTGAATATTTAATTTTTGGGCCGATGTACACTTGAGCTTGAGCACACTACAGGCAGTCTCCGAATGGGACGATGCCAAAAATTTAAAAAAAAATCGGATTATTACATTTATTAGATAGGGCCCCGTTTTCATATAGCAGCTTTTTGCCTACCTATCTTAACACCATTTCTTTTAGTTGACGCATAGGACACCAAGTGCTTCATTATTGATTCATATTTTGCATTACAAATCCTCAAAATTGAAAATTGTTTTGAATTTTTGAACTTCTTTAATTTATAATCCATATACTATCCTTTAATCAATTGTTGTTAACAATGTTTTTTTTATTACAACAGATTGCACCTGCTGCAAAAAAATTATGGGACAAGGGTCCAGGTGCTGGGGGAGATAGTAAGGGTCCACATCATCTGCCACCACTACAACTTAACCCTGAACAAATGTGGCGTGATCCAACTTGGTCAGCTCAAGGTTTGTAAAGGATATTAATGTTACTGTAAAACAAAAATTGTGTATGAAATGTTGTGTTTTATTTGTGGGGATAGAGAGTAAAATCTAAAGTTTTTGGCTGTTTAGTATGTTTGTGAAATATTTAAAATACTTGCATAAACAACTTATTATTAAAATGTTAGCTTTTTTTTTAATAAATTTCTATTATTTTTTCATTATCATAATAATGTTTTCTTTAGCTGTTGAACATAATGTCGGTGTCCCCATGATGGGCACACGTCGTGGTGTCGCTTTTCCCGGTGGTGACGCCGGCAGTATCCTTTCACCTCGTGATACTGCTGGTCTAGGGGTCAAAATGGTCGAATATGTACTGGGAGGATCGCCAACTGGTAAAAAATGTTTATTTTTTTAATATTTTTAAATCTAAAAACGCTAAATATAAATACTTATTATAAAAATAAGAAATCTGTATTGACTTTTATGCCTCTAACAGAAGCAGGCGGCGTAGCTACTGGGGGTGGTGAGAAAGTAGCTGGTGTAGTGACTGGGTTGCGCAATATGGTGCTGGAAGAGCGAGCTGAAGATAAGTCATCGTCACCATTTGAGAAAGATCTGCATGAATTACATGATCACAGTAACCTTCCTAATGGACTGCACAATGGTCAAGAAGATGACAAAGCGTTTAAGTAAGTAATATAATAACAAATTATTGTACTACATGATACTACTGCTTAACAAGTAATGTAATTCATTCATTCAAACTAATTTAGTCATTTTTGTGCGAGTGTTATTTATTACTACACGGCGGAATTAGGATAAGTCGGTCGCGGATATGGCAACGCGGTTTCCTTGATCTTTGTCAAAAAGCATAACAGATAGTTTGTGGTACTGTACGTGAAGGTCACCGGGTAGTAGTGCTAAAACGTCCGAGATCGCAGTTTTCGTTCGGCGCGCGGGTCGCGCGGGCAATAACCGCGCTCCGTGGATCATGGCCTCTGTCAATGCCACTCGCTCCAAGTCCGCTGCGCCGGCGACTCGTCGAGGCCTCCCCTCCCTGCCCCTACTCACTGAGTGCCAACGCTTCTATACCCCACCGGCGCACGACGACGGACGTAATCTTTTATCACCTCGCTATAAAATATGATTCATAATGTTAACAGCTTTCCTCAGATAATTACGTCGTAGCATTTGCATTTTCATTTTCCATTCCAAACTGGCATGTGCCAAATCTAAACGCCTTATCGTCGTTGTCGAACCAAAATCTGCTATGTGCACATTTTTGAGATTTTAACATTTTGACTAGGAAGTAGTTCACCAATCAATCTTTTGTATGAAATAACTGCTATGTGCTTTTGAGAACTGTACAGCGAAGCATGACTTCTTTTTAAAGCATGCTATGTGCAGCAGCTAGAATATTGTCAATTAATACCTGCTATGTGACAAACATGCACATAGCATATTTTATTTGACCACGGACGATTGTGATTGTGTAGTAGAAAATCTGCCATGTGTTTAGTCTAAACATAAAACGACATTAACATTACATGAACTAGCTAATAATTAATAGATAAATAAGCGCATGTTTTGTAAATCACTTATTAGTACCAATAAGTTGACAGGCAGATAAGTTATTTTTTAAACCACTGATTAGTTCCAAGGATCATGCGTCTTTCAAAATAATAAATTAGATGATAAGCTAAAATTGTTTGCACCCATGATTTATTGATAAGTTGACAGACAAGTAAGTTCTTTCAGTCTTTCAAAATAATAAATTAGATGATAAGCTAAAATTGTTTGCACCCATGATTTATTGATAAGTTGACAGACAAGTAAGTTCTTTCAGTGTTTTTGGAATAGCTAGTTAATCTTAAGGACCATATTTTTGAATATTCGCCCACTACTACCACTATGTTCAAATTTGCCATGATTGTACAATATAAATACATTTTGTATTAGAAAAAGTTAGTTCTATTTTATCTCTCGAGTTAACTACTACGTAGCACAGTCAGTTGATAAACTGTATTAACTTGTAAAGTATTTTGCACAAGTTATATAGTGAAAAAGAAATCTGTGTTTTTTGGGTAAGCTACAAAATAAGCCGGGAAAGAAAATAATAAATTTAGTTTTAACGGCCACTGATGAAAAATGTTTACAAGAAGAAAGTCAACATCCAATATGCCAAGAACCTCGCAGAGAACTTTGTATTAAGACCTGCTAAATTCTGCACCTACACAGGAGAGTGATCAACCGTCTATACCCTCCAGCAGTGGAAAGAACATGTCGGTAAATTCATCCACTGAACAAAGTAATAGCTCAGCCTTTCCTACAATCACCAAACGGAAGCGTTACATTGTTTACAGTAGTGATGATGATGACATTTCATCAAATCTTGTCCAGGAGGTGACAGTGAGCATCGAAATGCCAAGCAGCTCTGAAACTCCAATATTTTGTCAATCGAAAGCTAAACGCCGCCGTTTACTGGGTACACAGTACATGGGTTACCAGAAAAAAGATGGTATGCTAGAACAAAGCATTCCAAAAGAAGCCATGTCTGTAAAAATTCGTTGTAATCACACTGCAATAAAACAAAAATCTAAAAATAGTTTTATGTGTAGTTTAGTATCAGAAGAAGAACGAGTTGCATTGCATGTCAAGTTTTGGAATATCAATTTATGGGGTAAAAAAAAGCTTTTGTACAAGGATTAGTATCCAAAAGAAATTTTTGTAAGCAAAGAAAACGTGATAATTCTGTTACTGTCAGGAAAAAAAACTGCTTCTGATATGTGTTCAGAATGTTTTTTTAAACACACTAGATCTCGGACGTGATTCTTTCTTACGCTGGGTTAAAGATACATCAGCAACGGCAGTCATGGCAGATGACAATGAATCCCCTACTTTAATTGGATGTAATCGTAGTGTCTTGGCCACCATCAGAAGTACACGAGGAACGGTGTCCGAATGGCTCAATTTACTCCCGAAAGTGCCTAGTCATTATTGCCGGGCATCATCAAAGCGCATTTACGTAGAAGCAGATGAAGTTACGTCCAACGAATTTACAAGGAGTGTAATTTATTACCTTAAAACACTGCAATGTTTTATGCTTTAAAATATGCTTATTTTTTTAAGGAAAAAATCATGTTATAAAAGGGACACACTGATGGAAGTTGCTAGTGTCCACTTTAGTACAGAACATCATATAAAGCCGCCTATTTATGCACCTCAAGATTACATTTCAAGAATGCGTCAAGCGGGGCCCAAACAGCCCTATGATATTAGAGTAGTTCATTTTGATTTTTTCAAGGGCTATGAGTATTTCTACACCAATTTTCAGTCTATTCGACCAGGTAAAAGGAAGGGTGATCCCACTGTGAATGATGTCAGAGCATTTTTGTATAAATCTACTGGTGAAGTGTACTTCAAACTTCGTCATCCACAAGAGTACACAATTTTGCCACAACATAGGCAGCTTCCTCAACAGTACCCTGAATCTTCGGGTCATTAGAAATAACTCAATCAAAGTACAACCAATTAAATTACAAGAATAGACTGAGACTACCATCCATTTACGATTGTTTAAAATTTAAGTCTGATTAATACTTGTTAACATTTTTCAATATTAATACTTGTTAACATTTTTCAGTATTAATACTTGTTAACATTTTTCAGTATTAATACTTGTTAACATTTTTCAGTATTAATACTTGTTAACATTTTTCAGTATTAATACTTGTTAACATTTTTCAGTATTAATACTTGTTAACATTTTTCAGTATTAATACTTGTTAACATTTTTCAGTATTAATACTTGTTAACATTTTTCAGTATTAATACTTGTTAACATTTTTCAGTATTAATACTTGTTAACATTTTTCAGTATTAATACTTGTTAACATTTTTCAGTATTAATACTTGTTAACATTTTTCAGTATTAATACTTGTTAACATTTTTCAGTATTAATACTTGTTAATATTTTTCAGTATTAATACTTGTTAATATTTTTCAGTATTAAAAGTCTGGTGTAAATCCGATATCTTTTTTACTACCTGTTATGTGCCAAATAATTGACAATTTAAAATCTGTTAAGTGCAAAAAAATAATGTGATTTAAAAATATAGTAAATACTCAAAACACAAACAAAATTACGTATGATATCTATGACTTTAACTTGATATGTTTTTTTAAAATTCGCCTTCATATTAAATTTTACAGTAGAACTTTTTTCTTTAATATCTCGAAATCATACTTCTTCAAACCAATATCTGCTATGTGCAAATAGCAGATATTGGTTTTACAACGACGTTATGTGTTTGCACCGTACATTAAAAATCAATTCAAACCTTAATTTCAACTTATTCAACTATGTTTTAAAGGTAGGGTTTGTTAATTAGCATTGGTGGGGTTGAGCGGTATCCAACGCGAAATTATCCTCCTCACGCAAAAGTGTTCGCTTAAAATCTCGTGAATACTTCTCGAATTTTTTTAAATTAAATTTTTCACTGCCTCGTTTCATTCCCATTCCCATGCAGTCGTCAAAAGGCGATCACTATTTCCTTCATGTCTCAAGGTTAGTGGAACGTGCTGAAATTTATTATACCAGCGGTACCCGGATGCTATCGAAGGGATTTTAACCAACTTGATGTCTGTCAAATGATTCGTCTATTTTTTCTAAATCTTATGGTTTAAAAATCGGTTACGATCTCGGCATACTGCAGTTTAAACATAGTTAGTAAAAAAAATTGTCCAAATTGGTTTTTGAACGGAATTACAAATGTATATAAAACAAAAAGAATGTTTATTGAATGATGGTAACATTTAAAGACAAACGTTCAAAATTGGTTTTTGAACAGAACTACAAATGAATATAAAACAAAAAGAATGTATATTGTATGATGGTAACATTTAATGTCTTAACATATATTTGGAAGTAAAGACTAATGAATTGGGGGCGACTCGAACTTTAGGCCTAGTCAGTTTGAATAGCCTATCTTGTAGAGGATGTCTTGGGGTCTTGGTTGAATAGAGGCAAAAAGTTTTGTGTAATGAGAGGGTCAAAATAGCGAAAAACCAAAAAATTAAAAATTCCCATTTTGTCTATAACTCCGCCTCTTTCGGAGGTTCTTACACAGTCTACTTCCCGCATCCCACTTGTTAACATATTAATGTTATGTTCGGACTGGAGTTGAATTTTGACGGTGATAATTGGTGAATTGAAAGTGCAAAATTAGATTTACGGTAAACTTGTGTATGTTTTCTATAAAAATTTGCCGCGCCAGCAAAATAAAATAATATAAGGACAAAATAATAAATACGGTAACTAACTATTAGTTGTATAGGTTAGAATAAGAAATAAATAATGAATATGAAGGCACATTGGGAGACATAAGTGATCATTAGTCAAACTGAAAGTAATGGTAAAGGCTTAGACTAATGTAATGTCTTTTCTAAAATTATATTTAAAATTTTGTTTTTATGGGTTTTAAAATGGCGACAATTTGCTAAACAGCATAAACGGTATTTCGAGAAGTCTCTTAGTAGCTGTACTATGTATGTTATGGATTATATCATGCGGCCATTGATTTATAATCAGTTCTATAATAGCATATTTTTATTACTTACGCTGTATAGCAGTTTTTTCAACATAACATATAATTATCTTTAGAGATAACGTATAAAAGTTTAAAAAAAATTTAGTCTTGAGAACAGTATTGAATAAATTAAATTTAGATTTAACATGATCTTTTAACTGCACCAAATCTTTTTCTTTTTTTCCAGATATTGATAACACATTAATTTTGTTCACTAGTATAATATAAACACATAACTCATGCAAAATGGCGATATTCTGTCACTTATACAGATTTAAGATGTACTATGGGTGTTATTTATTTTTTTGATTGTATATCACTCTCATAGACAGAAATTATAAAACTACTGTATTTACAAAAGTGTACAATGACACCATAAGAATAAATTTAAGAAAAGAGTTTGCATACACTATTGTTTATAATTAAGTTTCTATACAACTTTAATGATAAAATCAGATTGAAGTGTTACAAAATACTTAAACTTGTATACTAGTTTTTATATTTTGATTAAGAACCCTAAGGCATACTTAGATCTTATAATACAGAATTTATACAGCTTAAGCTGTATAATAACTCATAAACCACTCGGATCCAACGTCTTTTCAGCACTCTTATATGCTTTTAAAATTCTTAAACTTTAAGTTCTATGTGGGCTGATATATTGATGTTCGTCACGCTTGTGTGCTGCTTGGGATCTCCTTTACGCCGAACAGAAAAGATACAAAAGAGATCTAAAGATACCTGTGACGTGCATCAGTGTTAGAGGTGCGAGACGTCGGCTACTACGATGGCCAATCCGCGTGCCAAGCGTAATTGGTTTAAAACAGTAATTTAAAAAACCCGCCTGTGTTAGTTTTCTGAAAAAATCTTCCCCTCCCTTAAATAGAATAATATTTGAAGATGTGATATATTAATATTATATAATAACATATGTCACTCCCATAAATAAGAGGAATCTAACGACACTTCATAATATGTTAAAATCCTTCAAGCCCTAGCCTAAGAGCGTGCCAACGAAATATACATACATACTCTCGAAAAACACTTCTTCTGGGTAAGTTGGGTAAAAAGAAATGACATTTTGTATGATCGCAGTATTGGGTTTATTTTTTTATTTTTCAATGATGCGAAGAAGTTGTGTTTGGTGCAGCCGCACGCCGGGGTCGCGGCAGCCGTCGCCGGCGGAGGAAGAGGGCGGCGCGGCGGGCGCCGGCGCCGGCGGCGGCGTGCGCAACGGCGAGGCGGCCGCCTTCCCGCTGCTGCCGCACGCGCTGCCCGCCGCGCCCGCGCCGCTGCACCACCTGCCGCACCTGCCGCACCCGCAGCACGCGCCGCACGCGCCGCACGCCCAGCACGCGCAGCACCCGCAGCACCCGCAGGTACCGATCACTATGTAGCTAGCTGTTACATCACAGCAAAATTCTATAAGTTACAATACTACAAGCTCTGATTACCACCAATTATATTTAAAAAGATTTTAAGACTATACAAATAAATAAAATTGTCTTTTATGTCAAAATAAGATTGCCTGTACTGTCAAAATAACAGCCTATTACTAAATGCATGTGAAAGTGTATACGGTACTTATAAGTAAAAACCATTTTTAAAATTTTGTCATCTGTTTTCTTGTTCTGGCTAATCTCCAAAATGGCTGGACCGATTTTAACGGGACTTTCACTGGCAAATAGCTGATGTTATAAGAAGGAGTACATTAGTCTACTTTTATTTAAGAATAAAAATTTTGGTTCTAATTTGAAATCTAATTCTAACAAATTCCACGCGGGAAACAGCTAGTATAATACTAAGGTTAAATATCTTTTACTTTTTAAGGATTTTAAATTCCTTGTATTACATGTAGAGAAATATAATTTCAATTAAAATTAAAGCTTACATGAAAAGTATTATACTCCAAAAATTATGTTTAATTTAGTCAAAGCTAAGGAAGCTTAGAAAATTTAATTATAAAGCTTTTTGCATCACTTCAGACCCTCAAAAATGTTTTTAAACTGCCTTTTATTAAAAAAAATTGTGTTCTATTTAAATTTTATTAATAAAGTTCTACCTGATGAAACATGCACATGTTGAATGGAATGGATGCAGTTGGCTCAAGACCATACTTTATGACAATCTAAGGAGTCCTATGTACATCAACTGAAATATGCTAGGCTATAGTGATAGTAAAAAAGCGACAGTAGCCTAATGACAGGGTGCGGACCGCGAACTAAAAGGTGGTAGATTCGAACCGCCATTCGACTACTGTCGTGAACCGCTCCTAACACAAGCATTTTAAGCTTTCCAGGAAGAGTTAAAGTTTGTATTAGTAATGTTTATAGCATTGCTAGTGCTTTTTTTTTAAATAAAAAAATAGTGATTATTGAAATTATCATACGTTTTACGTGTTCATATTAATTAGTTATAATTCATGTAAGTTAGTTTGTAAATGTCGTAAATACTCTTCAGCTGTGTGTAAATAATTTTGTAATGAGGTTTTATTAAAATAAATTTATTACTAACATTATATTATTATATGTCACGTTTCATTAATTTATTTTGAAAATTTCTTTTTCAGCATCATCCAGGGATGTTAGGTGTGGCTCCACTGCAGGGATTGCCACATCCTCAGCATCCACAAATCCATCCCGGTAATTATGTTTTATATTCCACTTATTTTCCTTTTTATATTTTAAGTTTTTAAGACTAATAATGGCTTTTCCTATTCCAGGCATGACTCTGAACGACTCTATGAATCAACACATTGAACTCGTTTTGCAAATGGAGCAGCATCCACAGTTTGATAATAACAGTTTTGCAAGTACACAGCAGGTAAAAACTAAGAATTTACTGATCATTCATTTTGCACTTAACATTAACATTACAAAAGTTCTCAATATTAAAAGTAGTGATTGTACATATTTGCATAAACACTCATACATATTTGCTCAATAATTAAATACATTTATTTCGGACAACTTATTAATGAAATCAGAATATAATTAAACAGGAAAAAAAGTCTTTATTGTTTTAAAAGCATTTTAAATTATTCATTAATAAGTTGGTCATAAATAATTCTAAATAATATATGACGTACGTTGAAAAAGTTTACGGAAGTGGTAGGAAGAAGGGTAAAAAAATAAACATTTTTTATTATATCAAATTGTCCCCCTATATCAAACAAAAAAAAAATACTCCTGCCCTTAAAGACCATAAGGAACGGATTCGGCTGCACCTTCGTCCTGCAGGCAAAATCTGCCAAACCTTTGGTTAACATCGAAGTTTCGTTTAAACACTCCAAAACGTTTAATTTTTACAAATGACGGACGTCTTCATAGAGCGTCAAGCAATAAAAAAAATGCAAAATTTAAGTGCACTCACGTGTCAATTTTTATATATTATGCTGGTTCTGTTAAACAAAAGGCGCTATTTTTGTTCACAAAATTGTTTTATTTTTAAAATATATTAAATTATTTTTTTAAATTTGATAGTATAAATATCGTCTTTCACTAACACGCTGGCAGAATGCCATTCTAGTAGAAGATTTTTTTTATTTTTCTTATAATCAAAAAGGTGGTAAAATAACTTTTAAGGTGATCTTCATTTGTTTTTTTCTTACTACTAAATTGAACGTGATCTAAATAATAGCGAACGAAGTAGGTAGTGTACTTTATTATAATTTATCGATAATCTCGCTGCTACATATCCACTTGTTAACAGTAAATATCTGCCGCGATTATTGTGTTACTTGGTAGGTAGGACCTCCCACAATACAACACTCCGTTTATTACCCACCACACATGTTCGATTCACATCTGTGTCTCCAGCTTCCAAGCCTTTAGCGCTTACGCGAAAAATTGTCATTGTCCCACAGTTACTCATTAGTACGACTAAGGCCCGTATTAATAAACGTTACTCAACGACGAACTCAAGTGCGTAATTATTTGATATGATCATTACGATATCAGCATATCAAGATTGTTGCTAATTAATAAACACATAAAAACAGTATCTTAAGACGCTGTACTTAGGAATACTGTTCTGTGACTTAAGGGCTTGATCTCGTGAACGATTACGTCACATAGACCGAAATTCAGAATATCATTTATCACGTTTCGTTTTTGCTATATCGTGAGATTTATTGAATACTTTTATTTTGATAAAATGTTATAAAGTTGTTTTCTACTCTCGAAAACCTTAAATTGTTAAAACTATTATGTATGTATTTCTAAATTTCTAAATATGAACTAAATGTTTACTACTTAATCCAATATGTACAAATAACCTAACTCATTAAAGCGACTACAGTGCCTGTGTCAAATATAAAACGGATGTATTATTTTTGACTCTGGAAAACATCTTGATTAATTAACTTTTATCTCGCTGGACTACTAACTTTTATTTTACCTCGTGTAGTGGCGGGTAAGAATACTCACTACCCCATACCTTCCCGTGGGTGTCGTAAAAGACGACAGAGGGAAACTGAGGCAGAGGATGGGCAGCAGCATCTTTCTGATAACAGCAAAACAACAATCAAAAAACTGCGGTTGCCAACCTGCCCGCCAAGCGTGGCAACTATGGCAATATACCCCCCCCCCCCCCCCCCATGAAAGTAACGAAGAGACGGCCCCCGGTACCTGGCGGCCCCGCTATTCCTGGCTACGGTGGCGACCATGGTAACGGCGGGGCAGGGGGTGCTAAGAATCTCCGGTGGAGGTTCGGTTGCCACCTACGACGACTCGACCTGGCAACATACAACGCACGCACCCTGAGGACTGACGAGAAGATCCTGGAGCTGGAAAAAGAGATAGACAAGTTGCGCTGCAATGTCATAGGATTATCCGGAGTCCGAAGAGAGGGGGAGGACACGGTAATCCTCGAATCCGGCAATTTGTTCTATCACCGGGAGGGCGACCATCTGTTACAAGTAGGTGTTAGATTTATCGTCCACAAGTCTCTCGTTAACAACGTTTTAAAGATTGGAGTGTGTCGACGAGGGTTGCGTAGCTTATACTCAGAATCACCAAACGGTATTCGCTGAAGGTCGTACAGTTTTACGCACCAATCTCGGCACACCCCGATGAGGTGGAGGAAATGTATGAGGATATCTCTAGAGCCATGCATTCCTCCAAAACCCACTATACGGTGTTAATGGGAGACTTCAACGCAAAACTAGGCACAAGAGAGAACGGTGAGCTGAAAGTAGGGAATTTCGGAATAGGGCAACGGAACCCAAAGGGCCAGCAGCTGGCCGACTTCATGGAGAAAGAGGGACTCTTTATGATGAACTCTTTCTTCCAGAAGCGGCCCCACAGGAAGTGGACCTGGTCGAGCCCCGACGGTTCGACAAAAAATGAGATTGACTTCATTATGACGACCAGACGACAACTGTTCAGTGATGTCTCAGTGCTCGTGAGGGTGAAAACCGGCAGCGATCTCCGAATGGTGAGAGGCACACTGAACTTAAACGTTAAGTAGGAGAGGTCACGTCTAATGAAACCAACGCTCCGTCCCTCTGGTGCTGTAATCCAAAGTCCTGAAACCTTTCAGCTCGAGCTACGAAACCGTTTTCAGTGCCTAGAAGATTGCAATGCAGTGGACGATATGAATGACAAGCTCGTGGAAACTGTCCATGCGGTCGGAGCTAAGTTTTGCCCGCCGCGGAAGAATACGAAAACTCTCCGATCACACTCATAATCTCATGGCTGTTAGACGGGATATGAAGCTGCAGTCTTCAGTAGATTTGACAGCATACAGTCATCTGAACAGACAGATCTCCAAATGCATGCGGCGGGACATACGCAACTTTAATACTGCTCGTATTAAAGAAGCGATCTAGCGGAACCAGCGATCCAAAGTTTTTGCTAGAGATCTGTCTGCCAGAAAGAGCCAACTGTCGAAGCTGAAGACCAAGTGTGGCAGGATCGTTTCCGGGACATCTGAGATTTTGAGTGAGATTGAGAGGTTCTATGGGCAGCTGTACATGTCATTGTTGGAGCCACACGCATCTGTGAGTAACGATCCTAGAGCGAGTCTTATCCGACACTATTCCGATGATATCCCGGACGTCAGTCTGAGCGAGATTAGAATGGCTCTCCATTACCTTAAAAACGGCAAGGCCCCATTCGAGGATGGAATTACAGCGGAGCTTCTGAAAGCGGGTGGAAAACCGGTACTTCCTTAAAAAAGTCCTTCAAAAGCTCTTTAATTCCGTCCTCCATGGTGTCACTACACCGGAGGCGTGCAGCAGAAGTGCGGTGTGATTTGCCTTCTGAGCCGCGTCTACGTGCTGTTTTCGAGAGTCATTACGAATCGTCTCGCGCGCAGACTTGACGACTTCCAGCCTCCCGAACAAGCCGGTTTCCGAAAACACACCACATACGTATGTATGTGGTGTGTTTTCGGATACCGGCAAATCGGCAAATTGTACAGAAGTCCGAGGAGTACAATTTGCCACTATGTCTGGCGTATGTGGACTATGAGAAAGCTTTTGATTCCGTCGAAATTTGGGCGGTGCTGCAATCCCTTCAGCGATGCCAAGTTGACTGTCGGCATATCGAAGTGCTGAAGTGTTTGTACAGTAGGGCTACGATGGCTATCCGAGTACGAAACCTATCCAATTGCAGAGAGGTGTAAGACCGGGTGACGTTATATCCCCGAAATACTTCACCGCTGCATTGGAAGACGTTTTTAAGCTTTTGGACTGGAAAGGATACGGTATTAACATCAATGGCGAGTACATCACTCACCTTCGATTTGCCGACGATATAGTCCTTATGTCAGAATCGCTGGAGGATCTAAGCACTATGCTCAATGACCTCAATAGTGTTTCCCAACGGATAGGTCTTAAGACGAACATGGACAAAACAAAGATCATGTTTAGTGTTCATATCACACCTATGCCGGTAGTTGTTGGGAGCACTAAGCTCGAAGTTGTTTGACAAGTGTTTACCTGGGACAAATAGTCCAACTAGGTAACTCCAACTTCGACCGAGAGGTCAATCGATGGATTCAACTCGGTTGGGCAGCGTTCGGGAAATTACGGCACATCTTCTCGTCAGGTTTACCTCAAAACTTGAAAACAATACTGTACAACCAGTGCTTGTTGCCAGTGATGACCTATGGTACTGAGACGTGGCCCTTTGATGCTGGCCGGTCGCTCAGCGAGCTATGAAGAGGGTTATGCTCGGAGTTTCTCTGCGTGATAAACTTAGAAATGAGGATATCCGCAGTAGAAACAGAGTGACCGACATAGCCCAACGGATTAGTAAGCTGAAGTGGCAATGGGCCGGCCAAATAGCTCGAAGAAGCGACAGCCGATGGGGGAAAAAAGGTTCTCGAGTGGCGGCCTCGTACTGCCGGACGAAGTGCTCCCCACTAGATTGAGTGACGACCTGGTAAGATATGCAGGAAGTTGATGGATGCAGGTAGCTCAGGACCGTGCTTTGTGGCATTCCTTGGGGAAGGCCTATGTTCATCAGTGGACTTGTGAAGGGCTGTAATGATGATTTCTCGGTTTCATAAAAAAATTTAGTGCTTTGATGGAAAATTAGGAGACCGACCAACCGATGGCACGTCTGTCTCTACGTATTAAAAATGAGGCCTGGAGCAAAATAACTAGAATACAAAAGTTAGTCCATACGCCAGCTACTAGCCAGATAGGTAGTACTACAAATATCACTTTTTAAACGTCAACATAGTTATCTGAATTTCCATATCATATTTTATCTTACAAATCGTACAAATCGTGGATTTGTACGATTTGTAAGATACCCTCATTACTTACTTTGAAATTTAATAGGTACATTATATTAATTTAAACAATGAAATTA